ATATTTGAGATAGTCAGATCTGAAATAGTTAGTGAAACCCCATTTGGCTGAGACAACAATCTTTTATCTTCCTGGGAACTTATTCTTTCCTCTTCTCAATGCTTCCATAGCATGATTAATTGAAGCATCTTTGCATCTCAAAGAGTAGAGAATGCTACCAATTTTAACTCTGGCACATAAACCATTTGGTTTACCAAAGGCTCCTCTCATACCAGTTTAAAGTCTATCTGCACCAGCACATGAAAGCATTTTGTTGATTCTGAGTACGTGCCATGGATGAACTCTGCATCTAAGATGGAATGCATCTTTTCCGACTTTCTTAATCATGTATTTATTGATGGCAACTCTGCATGCTTCTAAGGCTTCTGATGAAATTTATTCCTTTTCATCTGAAACAATGTGAATAACAGCCTAATTCATATTAATTATTAAGTACTGGGAATTCCTCAACATTAGCCTTCTTTTTTCCTACATCATATATCTTAATTTTAGCATCTGGAACACCTCTGTTATATCTGGACTTGGGGAATGGTTTACCATTACTAACTCTATAGCATCTTGCTGGTCTTCTGCCCATTTTTATTTAAAAAAATATAAAAGATTAAAAATTTTTTTGAAATCATTCTTTCATTCATTTTATTTTAAAATTTCTAATCCTTTATTATTATTATCATAAAAAAATAACCTATAACATATTAATCATTGTTTCAAATTCTTATTAAAATATATCTACATGTGTCATGTTTACCTTATAAAAAACTAATTAAATTTAAATATGAAAAATTTGTTTGTTCCTTTATATCGAATGAATGTAGTAACTCCTAAGAGATATTTTATTCTCTAAATTAATCAACCTACCAATTTATAAACTTAAAGTCTCTTTGATTAAGGTCATTTAATATTCTCAGCAAAAAAAGATCAGGGAATGATGTATATATTTAACACAAAAGATGAAGTCATCCCATATGATTTTATCACTAAAGTATGTTCCTCATTTATCATAGGACAACTCTATTAAAGATTTCAAAATAGAAGAAATTGAATTAAGAACATAAGGAGAATCTAAATAATTATCACATTTGTATAAATTTAGATGATTCATAAATATATATATGTATATTGAGTTTGAAGGTTTATAATGGAAGATATAAATTTCATTACTTAATGTTGTAATCAATTAGATAATCTAATTATAAATGAGTTAAGTTGAACTCCTTCAAATTTGATTATTCAGAAGCTTCTATCAAATATTCTAATAAATATTTTAATTCCAAATCTTCCTAATTATCATACCATTCTAAAATAGGGATTCCATTTTCAACCTGTAAACCGAAAGAATGAACAAGGTTGTCTATTATCAAAGTTCTATTTAAATCTAAATCCTTAACGATTCTTAAGTCTTTTATAAAAAATCCATTTTTTGTTTCCATACAATTAGATCTAGATAAGATTCCACTTATATATTATTTAAGTGGATCAAGATAATTCACAATTGTTTAAGCATATTATTGAGATGAAGCTGTATAAATATAGATTGTATAATATTAAGCTAACTCTTGTAAAAAGTACGTAGCGTATGGTCTTATATTTATTCCAACCTACAATGACTTATATATGTACCTCGATTTCAGATCCATCTTCATTTTATTATTTCAACCTAACGGTAGGTGTCTCTCTAGAATTACAAGCATGAACCAACGTTTCGTCAAGATCAAGGAATATTGTATTAATTTTATTGGGGTTGATTTTATTTAAGATTACTTTTTTCTTTTCTATAAATTATTCTGAAGGCCCTTTTAGACATTTTCTTGAATAAATTAGCCCTCTTTAGGTTATAAATAAATGTTTTTCTAAAACTAACTCATCTATTTTAGGGCTGAATATCAAATGACGAAATGGATGTTCCAATAACTTATCTTCTTTAGATTCTCCAACTTTCTAAAAATTTCTCATTGACATAGGTTTAGATTTCATTTATTTTAACTTTGGGTTAAGTTTTGTTTTCTCTTCAAATTTTTTAAGATGTTCTTCAATAGTTTTCGTTTGTTCATCAGGTATTTATAATTAGATATTTGAACATAATTTAACTTCTTTTTCTATCCCTTCTGGTTCTTCATCTTTATCTCCCTCATTCATTGTTATTACTCTTTAAGTACTAAAGCGTGAAAGTTTAGGAACTAAAATTCAATCAAAAAGTTATTACTAAATGGTTTTGAGACTGATTCTTCTTTTTAACTGCCTTTATCATTATCCTCATTTTCAAATGGGGAAGACATAGGAGTTAATCCTTATAAAGGTTTTGGCTTGGGTTTTGGAGTGAAATCGAATGATAATGCTGTATCTCTATCATCTTCACTTTAGAAAGATTATTTTGAACATGGAGATGATCGAAATTGTGATGACCTAGCGCTATGCTTTATACTAAGAAACTAATCCATAATAATTTTGATTATTAATTGAATAATTTGATATCATTAAAACTCTGTTTAAATATGATGAGCATAAATAAATTAATATAAGTTAAACACTAATAAAAACGATTTCTTTAATTAATATCAACCAAATAAACTGAATATTCTATAAAAATATCATATGATATATTATTATTTTGTATAAATTAACAATAATTTTATTTGATAATTATTTGATTAATACCATTAAATTAATAATAATTAAGAAAAATTCTGAGTAGATTAAATTTTATTGTAAACATCAAATTACTCAAATTTAAGTAGCTTCAAATTCACACTAATAATATGATGCTGTAAGGGGATCAAACAATTATGCTTCTTTAGGTTTTGTATTAGAAATAAATTCATTAAACTCAGACTAGGTCTCTAAGTTCATCATTTATGTTACCATTCCTTATCTAAAAAGTATAATTTTAATTAATACCCATATAATTGTAAACTTAATTTTGATTTGCTGTTTATAAAAGAATTTTTATAAAATTCAATTAATTCTTGTTTTGATATTTTTCTTATTTCTTCTATAGCAACTTATCTATCTTCAAATTCTATAGTTCCAGCACTAATATACTTCCATAAACGATCACCTTCTTCACTCAAACTTTAAGGATTTTCTTTTAATTCAGTAATTACTCCATGTTTTAGATGTTGGAATTCTCTATTATTCATTTACTCTAAATAGATTGAAAATTAATCTAAGAAATCATCAATTATTTAATTCACTTTCATTGGTATTTCTGTACTACCTTAAACTAAAATCAAAGCTCCATCAACACAGGCTGTTGTTTTAAATTCAACTGCTACAACATATCCTAATTATAAATCAGTACGTAAGTAATTATAGGCTTATTAATTTAAAATAGGTTCTAATAATTTCATAAATGCCTAATTCATTTACTTTCTTTATCCAATTTAATAATAATTCAAAGTGACACCATTAATATCATCAACATTATCTGATTCTATGAATCTAGAATCAATAAGGTTTTTTCCTTTTAAATTTATGATTGCTACCTTATCTTAATGATTATCCTAAGTTGATGATGATTCTTTATTCCTAGTACATGATTGAACTTCATTGGATATTTTAGATGCTTCTGTTTAATCAATATTTCCAATAAACAAACTTGAATATTATACATTATTCATAATGTCTCTAACATCTTAAAGCATTTCTTATTATGTAATTTAATTAATCT